GAAACATTTTCATTATTAAGATTTTTTTATTTTTAACCTCTTTTTGCTTTTCTCTTTCTTGATCCTCCTTAGCAACTGTCATTACAGTCCTTGACAGCGGTCTGTACTACTGGATTAACAACGTGTCACATGTTCTGAATTGACCAATCAAAACTTTATTTAGCCTCCGTATTGTTTATGGTTGAATGTGGGCCGCGAAGAAAAATCTGATTCTTAAGTGGGCCCTGAGTTGAAAAAGGTTGGGAACAGCTGCTCTAGATGAATGCCAATGTTCATATATTTCAACTGGGTGTGAAAATAAGCAACCGTTTGCTGTAAGCTAGCAAGTTGGCTTGTTAGTATGGAAGCCCATTTTCAGCACTGGGAGGAAAAAATGTATCCTGTAAGACATTATGATCACTTGGTATCTCCTTATTGTTACTATCTAAATTTGACTTAGTATCTTATTTGTATGACTTACTATTTGATTGTATTTTACTTACAATATTATTTTTCGCTTTTTCTTTCATTATTATGACTTGAAACAGTGTCATTATTATGATGATATTTATCATGATTTCAGCCACAGACTCATCCCTCCTCGGCACAGCACCAAGCGCCTCGGACAGTCCTTTGTGCCTGTAGCCATCAGGCTGCACAACAAGGGGTCAACAATCTGACACAATTACTGGACATAAAATACACACTGCACACATTCATGTAAATATATCTAATATGTATATGACCCAACATATATGTTCATTTTAATTCATCTCTTATTTCATAGTTTTTTATCATTTTTATTTTTATCTTTGATTTTATCTTTAATCTTATTAATCTGTGTGAATCTGTGCTGTCCTGTTTTTCATTCTTACCCTGTTGCTGTTAAACTACTGCATTTTCCCACTGGGATTAATAAAGGTCCATCTTATCTTATCTTATTTCCAAAATAACGGCTTGCCATCTCAATATTTTCACTTTGTATCTCATGACTATGTTTCTCTGGACCGCTGGCCAGCACACAGCTCCACCACCAAGAGCGCTCTGATAGTTATTCATAATAATGAAAAAGTAAGTCATAATGAAGCAGGGAAAGCCAAAATGAAGAGACAGTAAAAGTGATATTAATGACATATTGACTGTGGCTGTGAGGGAGTGTGGTCGTCTTTCAACCAGAAGGTTGTGGGTTTGATCCCAGCCCATGCAGTCAACATGTCGATGTATCCTTGGGCAAGATACTTAACCCTGAGTTGCTCCCGATGGCATGGCCAATGGTGTGTGAATGTGTGTGAATGTTAGGTCCTAGAGTAAGGTACACTGCTCTGTATGAATGGGTGTGAATGGGTGAATGACATGTAGTATGTAAAGCGCTTTGAGGGGTCTTAAAGACTGGATAAAGCGCTATATAAGTACAGTCCATTTACCATTTACATATTAAGGGTATATCTGTCCTCGTATTGACAAAAAAAAGTCTTTGCTTTGTTTATAATCGGCACTGACTCTTGACATACTGTATCCGTCTGGAGCTGCTGATCATTAGCTGTTGCTTTGAGTTGGACACGTTTGTACAGTTATTGTTCAGAGCTTTTTCTCTTAAATTAATGCAAACCAATGCCAGCTTAAAACATGTGCAATGAGACTACATGAAACTGAAAAGTAAAAGGCTGGAAAGGCTTAAAGACATTTGAAGATTGTAAGGGAAATTGAGGAATCATTATAAACTCCACTGTATGGGTTTTTGACTTTGGGGCAATCCCTTTAATTATTTTTAATCCATTGCTTGTATATAAAGTATTGATTTTAGCATCAACCTACTTGTCCCTTGGGTGCTATTATAGTTAAAGAGTTTATTTTTTGGCTCTGGGTAAGCGCCTGTCCTCTAACAAACAATACATTTCTATTGTATTGAATGTTTAGGACCTTTGGTGTATTTAATACATAAAAATAGTCGAAATAGATGTTGACAAGAGAAGATAATATAAAGGTGACCATAAACTTCCAGAAAAGCTTGAATGTAGAAGGTTCTAGAAATCCCGTTTGCTAAATGAAACCCCATGTGATTAACACGTATTTCATTAATGCCATGTAAAAAAAACACACAGCATGTTTCTTGACCCTTTTACAGAGGTTCAAACTATATATTTTATTTATATATTTGTTCATATAGTCTTGAATGCAATATATTTTTCAACCACTAGATGGAACTAACTCATAAAACCAAGAGTCCGTTGTGGATGAGCTACCAAATAACATTAATAAGGATATTGGCTTTGATGAAAAAATGTGCTTAATATTAAACTATATAATTGGAGCAGTGGGTTTGCTGTATCTGTATCAGTGATTTCACAAACAATTGAACACTTAATGCCAAAGTGGTTTTAGGCAGAGTGTTGCAAATACTAACTTTTAAATGCAACGCTTTTAAAAGTTAGTTTATCTTGGCCTATGGTGAAGTGTGACACCTGTCAGCCAAAGGTTCACACTATTCCGCTCTAAGAAAGATGGTTGTATTCGGGAAAATATTGCAGCAAAGGAAGACATCTACCAACTTAACATCACTGCAAACAATATATGATTTAAATCAACATCTTATAAAAATGGAAATGTTCTCAAAACCTTTGGTAGACCTCAATGAAGGCAAAGCACTTTAGCAAAACAATAGAGCAGAGTGAACAAAGGTCTCCACTTTTTCACTTTTTCTTAAAAAGGATTCCACTTTATTAACTTGAAAGACCTATGGAGGTATAACTGGCTTTATAACATAGACAATGCATTCTCATGATAAAAAACAATTAAATAATAAATGGTAGAAGCTGAACTATGAGGAGTAAATGAAAATACTTTAAAGTAAGGACACCTGGGCACAAGCCCCATTACTTCCACCTGTTTCCAATCAAAATGTCAGGAATTGCTGGGATTGGCTCTTAGAACAGAACAGGTTAAAACAATTGCAAGCTTCCTACCAGAGCACCACTGTGTAAGGACGTCAAACTTTTTGTGTTGAGGCACTTCAGTTTGTGTTTTGATATTTTATCTGGATAAAACCATGGGGCTTGTTCTTCGGTAACTTTGACGTGGCTTCTTCTGCTTTCAACATTATAGGCCTACACTAAAATTACTCGTGTCTTTCTTTTTTTTAGGTTCTGCTATGGCTGCTAGTTATTGGAGAGCTTCAGGCAAGTATTACATTTAAGACAAAAGGTTAAAATAACACTCATTATGCAAAGTTCAAAAGTATTGTCTTTTTATAACCAAGTTTACAAATCTAATGATTTGCTCAAAACATATGATTAATCGACTTCATGATAAAACAGAAATTGATCTTAGGTTTTTCAAAACCTAAGATGGGCTGGTTAGGTTGACCTTTGTAATCCTTTCTCGACAGTTCCCTGGCTATTTACGCAGAAGCTCGTCCACAGCCAGCATGGCCCGGCCCCATTTTGGGGATCCAGTCCCAGCAGCCCGGCTACCCGCCCCATCCTGAGGCCCAGCAGCCCGCCTACCTGCCACGTCCTCAGGCCCAGCAGCCCACCTACCTGCCACGTCCTCAGGCCCAGCAGCCCGGCTTCCCGTCCCGTCCTCAGTCCCAGCAGCCCGCCTACCAGCCCCTTCCTCAGTCCCAGCAGCCCGGCTTTCCGTCCCGTCCTCAGTCCCAGCAACTCACCGCAGCCCCGTACTCAGTCCCAGCAGCCCGCCTACAAGCCCCGTCCTCAGGCCGAGCAGCCCGGCTTCCAGGCCAAGCCCCGTCCTCAGGCCCAGCAGCCCGCCTACCAGCCCCCTCCTCAGTCCCAGCAGCCCGGCCCGGCGTCCCGTCCTCAGTCCCAGCAGCCCAGCAACTCACCGCAGTCCCTTCCTCAGTCCCAGCAGCCCGCATACCAGCCCCTTCCTCAGTCCCAGCAGCCCGGCTTCCCGTCCCGTCATCAGTCCCAGCAGCCCAGCAACTCACCGCAGCCCCGTCCTCAGTCCCAGCAGCCCGGCTTCCCGTCCCGCCCTCAGTCCCAGCAGCCCAGCAACTCACAGCAGCACCGTACTCAGTCCCAGCTTCCCGTCCCGTCCCCAGGCCCAGCATCCCGGCTTCCCGTCCCATCCTCAGTACCAGCAGCCCAGCAATTCACCGCAGCCCTGTACTCAGGCCCAGCAGCCCGGCTTCCCGTCCCGTCCCCAGGCCCAGCAGCCCGGCTTCCCGTCCCAGCAGCCCAGCAACTCACTGCAGCTCCGTCCCCAGGCCAAGCTCCGTCCTCAGCTGGGCTACTAGGCCAAACCCACCCACCCAGCCAGCCAGCCGGCTACCAGGCCGTGCCCAGGCCGTGCCCAGGCCAGCTACCAACCCAGTGGCAGTTTTGGCTCTCAACTTCCTGCCAAGACTGAAGCTACACCAAGAGAGGTTGAACAGGGTGAGTTTCCATCTCAGTAAAAAATCGCAAGTTGCAAATGCAGTTTCTGAGTTGATGCTTGGTTCTCATGTTATTGGGTTTTTCACTTTCAGAATGGGACCCATCTCGACTTGGAAACTAAAGGTGTTTTTGGCTAAAACTGAAGGTAATTTAAAGTAAATTACTTTTAACAGAAAAACAAGCTTATACCATCTTTGACGCCAACAGCCACATATTTATGGTTAAGGCCACTAATTTCCTGACCCTTGCTATTTCAGATTTCTTGGAAGTGTTTCAACTGACTGGCCTCGATAAACTAACACTCGCCTGCACAGTCTTTAAAGAAATAAATGCATTTTACACTGATGGAAATCAAAAGTGTTGTCTTTTCTTTTTTACTCTCTAAAGGCAGAAATGTCATTGACATTAAATATTGGGTTTAAAAAACGCTAACATTTGCTAAATACATATGACATCCTGTATAATTCACACCCACTTCCTGTATCTTTGACGAACAAGGTGGGAATACATAATGAATCTATTTAGACTAGGTCGATTGAGGCTTCATGTCCAAGTCAGGAGAAACTTGGTGTGTGACAATGTATGCGATTTCAGTAAATGTTTTCTCTGGACTCACACGGTTGATTTGAACTATTTTCATTACATCAACACTTAGGCGAACATTAACCATGTACAGGTCTGTATTTTGCGAGCTGTTCCAAATTCCTATCTTTACTGCAGCACGTGAATGCAGCATAAGAGCCGCCCCGCTCTGCCAGATTTTTCAGCTGGTAGGTAGTTAGTCGGTGTTTGCCAGTGACAGCCATCCCTGAAACCACCAGGACCCTCTGGATTTTCCACCTTGTCCTCACATCTGTAAAAAAAAAGAAGAATGACACGTTGCAATGAAGCGGAAAGAAAAGGTTTTTTAAGAGTAGTCTTCATGACTGCTGTGCAACAGGCAACTGGGCTGCAAACTCACTGAAGGCTCATCGGCTTTGGAGGAACTGTTGCACAAAATCCCGCTGCGATGTCCCTGCTGTGTGTCCGAGGTAAGGTCTGACTTTATAGCTGCAGGTTCTCCTTTTTATTCCTTCCTTTTTTGTATTATTAATTCAAAATAGAAATATTCCGGCAACAAAGTATGAGCTTGTTGTGCTTGCATTTAATGATTTGATGGAGGGGGGGAAAGCAGTTCAATTAATCCTTTTGAACAAATGTCAAAGCAAATTGTATATTGGCCTACCACAGTGTTGATAGTTTCACCTGCCTCATTCCACCACTAACATGTTGGTGATAATGTGAATCGGTAGAGATGCATAACACTTATTTCTCTTTAGACATCCAGCAACATGTGGGCAGCAACCCTTTTGAATTGACCCTTTTTAGCTGTGTTTAATTTCCTTGATTGGATAAGTCATTTCTTACACTATAGCTTCTTCAATAGCCTGTGTTATTTACTTTTCACACACATTTCAAAACATTCTAATTTTAGCCTCAAATATGTAAGTTTTCATTCTAAAAAATCTTTAAAGATATTATATTGAACTGTGAGAAACTTTTTGCTATTTTCTGACATTTTATTGATCAGCATTATATAAAAGCCCTTCATTGCAGCCCTACTTTTTGGTAATTAAGAAAAGGTTTACTTAAAATGTCCTCAGGTCATATCCTGGTAACTTTTAAAATGATCATATCTAAAGGGTTTATTTTCAACATAAATATATTTTTAGACATCACATTGTTAAACAAGAAAATACCTATAGTACTATCAAGGCCGGATTAGTACCTCCAGGGGCCCCTGGGCACTGAGAGCTCAGGGCCCCCCAACCCACGTACCAACACGTAACAACACGCCTACCCAAAATGACCAATATTTTAAATTTTCATTCAATCTGGCATGTCAATTGCACACCTCTTCGTCAAAAGCAGGGACGCAGCTACATAGTTCAACCAAAGTAGGTCTAGCCTTTGCCTTTTCAGTCAAAAAACACAAGACAAGGATACAATGATAAGATCTCAAGAAGATAGGTTAAAAATGCCAAAATACTGACCTGGCTGCTGTGCAAGTACACAAGAGTTATATTTGTCACCAAACATCGAGAGTTAAAAAGTAAAAACCATGTCGAGAAAGTATGTGTTGCTCAATAAGTGTCCGTATGTGAGTAGATATTGTGCTGTACGTGTGGAGGAGAGAGAGTGTGTGTGAGAGCAGTATTTGTGTGATGTAAGCAATCTTTTTTAATAAATCGTTCACTGATGGCCCTCTCTTGCTCAAGTGAGCCCGAGCAGTAATATTGATATATAGCACATATTGCTGTAAGTCATCATTGAACAATGATAATAACACTTATCTTCGTACTTTGACAATATGTGTCTGATACTTAACTCAATGTTGAAATGTGAGCGACATAATAACACACTGTAGCTCTATGCACTGTATGTTTATATATGCAGTCCACAATCCCTTGATTACATTAAATATATAATAGGGATGCACCCGAATATCTCGGCCGCCCGAAAATTATCGGCCGAAAATGGTTAAAAGCCCTTTCGGCTTTCGTAGCACCGAAAAAAAATATCACCGAATGTCAGAGAACAGGTTTACGTTGGTAAGCTACACGTGTTGTTGTATGACGTAATCAAACGCGGCGACAAGCACGGCGCGCGACCATGCTCGCGGCTGGCTTCCACAGCCAACATGTCTGCGCTTGGAGATATTTAAAAAATCAGAGAAAGAGGCGGCGGATTGCCATTTTAAACGTGTTCAGCTGACATTTCTCGAGGGGGGTACACTGCAAAGACTTCACACACTCGGTACTCCACCACTCAATCAAACACCCGGACAATATGCGGAGTAAGATCAAATCACAAGCCTGACAGCGAGAGACCTGTTCAGCGCTGCCTCTCATAGTGCTTGATGAAGAAGAGGAAGACTTTGGCTGATAAAGCGAGAAGCACTGTTCATTAAAAGAACCCCACTTTTCCTTAATAATAGACATGTAGAACTAGATAAGCGTATGATAAACAGACTTGTCTACTTATTAAGAGAAAAGTGGAGGTATTTTTAATGAACAGTAGCTTCTCTGCTTTATCAGCCATAAGTCTGTTCCTCTTCTCATTAAAGCCTAGAGGCAGCGCTGAAAGTCTCTCGCTGTCGTGTTGTGATTTGATGCTTACTCCGAATTTGATCGGGTGTTTGATTTCAAGTGGTTGAGTACCGAATGGTTTAAGTCGTTGCATGTACACCCCCTCGAGAATGTCAGTGAACCGTTTACAAATCGCAATTCCGCGCCTCTTTCTCTGATCTTTTTAAATATCTCAAAGCGCCAGACATGTGGCTGTGAGCCAGCGCGAGCATGGTCCCGCGCCGTGCTGTCGCCGCGTTTGATTACTCATCACAACACCGTTATTTTACAAACGTAACCCTGTTCCCTGATTCGTGATATTGTTGTCGGTGCTAAAAAGCCGAAGGGCCTTAACAATTTTCGGCGATAATTTTCGGCGCCGAATATTCGGTGCATCCCTATTAAATATTAAGAACAAGGGCAGGGGGACAGCTAAAAAACCCTGTGTCAAGTGTGTTGGGGTCCATCACATTTCACAACTTGGTTAAGATACTGACAAATATTGGTCAGTAGAAGATAAAAGGGTTTTATGCATGTTGCCTTGATGATTGTATGTTGTATATTTAATATTTGTGCCCAGGGGCCCAGTTTTTTTTCTGTGAGCAGAAGAGCGGCCTCAGTGAACGATTGTATTAAAAAAACTATTGCTTCACTCACACAAATACTCCACACACACCTCTCCTCTCCACTACACACATATCTATCACATACTGATGCAACTTGTAGTTGAGCACACCATACTTTCATGACATGTTACTTTGTACCTCGATGTGTGACAATATGATCCTTGTGTACTTGTACAGCACAGCAGTCATATTTTGGCATTTAACCTGCTTCTGGAGATCTTATCACTTGGATCCTTGTCTGTGATTTTTGGACTGAAAGGGCAAAAGGCTAGACATACTTGGTGAACTATGTAGCTGCGTCCCTGCTTTTGACAGAGGTGGCATTACATGCCGATTGAATAATTAAAATATTGGTCATTTTTGGGTAGGCGTGTTGTTACGTGTTGGTACGGGTTGGGGGGGCCCTGAGCTCTAGTGCCCAGGGGCCCCTGGAGTAACTAATCCGGCCTTGGTAGTAATATACGGTATTTTTGTAACAATGTGATTGGTCTAAAAATATATTTATGTTGAAAATAAACCCTTAGATATGAATGCGTTAAAAGTTACCAGGATTATGACCTGAGGACATTTTTAAGTAAACCTTTCTTAATTACCAAAAAGTAGGGCTGCTGAGGCTTTGTCATATAATGCTGCAATAAATGTCGAAAATAGCAAAAAGTTTCTCAACAGTTCAATAAATATCTTTAAAGATTTTTTAGAATGAAACTTACATATTTGAGGCTAAAATTAGAAGGTTTTGGAAATGGTGGTGGAAAAGTAAATACACAGGCTATGAAGAATATAGTGTGAGAAAGACTTACCAATCAAGGAAATTAAAACATCAGCTAAAAGGGTCAATTCAAAAGGGTTGCTGCCCCACATTTGCTGGATGTCTAGAGAAATAGTGTTAATGCAACTTACCGATTCACATTATCACCCAACATGTTAGTGGTGGAATGGCAGGTGAAAATATCAAACTGTGGTAGGCCAATATAAATTTGCTTTGAATTTGTCAAAGGATTAATTGACTGCTTTCTCCCCGCCTCCATCCAAATCTTAAATGCAGCAGCACAACAAGCTCATACTTTGTTGCCAGGAATATTTCTATTTGAATTAAATATACAAAAAAGGAAAGGATACAAAGAGAAACCTGACAGCTATAAAGTCAGACCTTAACCGACACCAGCAGGGACATCGCAGCGGATTTTGTGCAACAGTTCTCCAAAGCCGATGAGCCTTCAGTGGAAGTTGCAGCCAGTTGCCTGTTGCACAGCAGTCATGAAGACTATCTTAAAAAACCTTTTCCTTTCCGCTTCATTGACGTTGTCATTACCTCTCAACAAC